ACAGAGAGTGGGGCACTGCCAGGGGGCAAAACCCCAAGATAAAGGGGCACTGGGGTCCAGGAGGGACACGGGGGACAGTGGCAGATGAGACACCAGCCTGCAGAGGGCACTCTGGGCTGGAAGAGCTAATTCCCAGGACGACCAGCAGGAGGTGCCACGCCGGTGAGTCGTCGCACCGCTACAAGGTCAAATTACAAAGGATGAATATAAACAAATAACACAAGTATGTAGGGATAAAATTAGAAAGGCCAAGGCACAAAATGATATTAAACTACCTAGAGACATAAAGGGTAACAAGAAAACATTCTACAAATACATTAGAAGCAAGAGGAAGACCAAGGACAGGGTAGGCCCATTAGTCAATAAGCGGGAGATACAATAACAGAAAATGTGGAAATGGCAGAAATGCTAAATGATTTTTTGTTTCAGTTTTCACAAAAAAGGTAAGTGCAATTGGAAATCTAACATAGTGAATGCCAGCAAAAATGAGGAAGGATCAGAGGCTAAAATAGGGAAATAACAAGTTAAAAATTACCTAGACAAGGTTAATGTCTTCAAGTCACCAGGGCCTGAAATACATCCTAGAATACTCGAGGAGCTGACTGGGGAGATATCTGAGCCATTAGTGATTATCTTTGAAAAGTCATGGAAGATGGGAGAAATTCCAGAGGACTGGAAAAGGGCAAATATTGTGCAAATCTATAAAAAGGAAAATAAGGACAACCTGGGGAATTACAGACCAGTCAGCTTAACTTCAGTACCCGGAAAGATAATGGAGCAAATAATTAAGCAATCAATTTGCAAACACCTGGAAGACGATAAGATAAGTGACAATCGGCATGGATTTGCCAAGGAATCATGTCAAACCAACGTATAGCTTTCTTCGACAGGGTAACAAGCCCTGTGGCGGGGCGGGGGGTAAATGTGGTATATCAAATTTTGTAAGGCTTTTGATACTGTCTTGCATGACTATCTCATAAACCAACTAGGGAAATACAACCTTGATGGAGCTATTATAAGGTGGGTGCATAACTGGTTGAAAAACCATTTCCAGAGAATAGTTATCAGTGGTTCACAGTCAAGCTGGAAGGGCATAATGAGTGGGGTCCTGCAGGGATCATTTCTGGGTCTGGTTCTGGTCAATATCTTCATCAATGATTTAGATAATAGCATAGAGAGTACAATTATAAAGTTTGCAGACAATACCACGTTGGGAGGGGTTGCAAGTGCTTTGGTGGATTACAATTCAAAATGATCTGGACAAACTGGAGAATTGGTCTGAAGTAAATAGGATGAAATTCAATCACGACGAATGCAAAGTACTCCACTTAGGAAGGAAAAATCAGTTGCACACATACAAAATGGGAAATGGCTCCCTAGGAAGGAGTACTGCGGAAAAGGATCTGGGGGTCATAGTGAATCACAAGCTAAATATGAGTGAACAATGTAAAACTGTTGCAAAAAAAGCAAACATCATTCTGGGATGTATTCGCAGGAGTGTTGTAAGCAAGACACAAGAAGTAATTCTTCTGCCCTTCTCTGCACTGATTAGGTCTCAACTGGAGTATTGTGTCCAGTTCTGGGTGCCACATTTCAGGAAGGATGTGGATAAATTGGAGAGAGTCCAGAGAAGAGAGACAAAAATGATTAAAGGTCTAGAAAACATGACCTATGAGGAAGATTGAAAAAAACTGGGTTTGTTTAGTCTGGAGAAGAAAAGACTGAGGGGGGACATGATAACAGTTATCAAGTACATAAAAGGCTGTTACAAGGAGAAGGGACAAAAATTGTTCTCCTTAACCTCTGAGGATAGGGCAAGAAGCAGTGGGCTTAAATTGCAGCAGGGGCGGTTTAAGTTGGCCATCAGGAAAAACTTCCTAACTGTCAGGGTGGTTAAGCACTGGAATAAATTGCCGAGGGAGGTTGTAGAATCTCCATCATTGGAGATTTTTAAAAGCAGGTTAGACAAACACCTGTCAGGGATGGTGCAGATAATACTTACTCCTGTCATGAATGTTGGGGACAGGACTAGATGACCTATTGATGTCCGTTCCATTCCTACGATTCTATGTTGATCTCCTTAAAGGGGCAATGGACCTAATATATCTGAACTGCCCAGGAAAGGGCTAGACAGTGCAGAGTACCTGGTTTTTTTGTGGGGGTGGGGAAGAGAAATCCAGGACTGGCAGTGTATTGGAATTACTCTGTAAGTAGGAACCAAGGCTGCTGGAAGCCAGAGCATGTCTGGAGTTTGCTGACAGGGTGCTGGGGTCAGAGCTGCGTGACCAGCATTGTGGTTATACACAGACACTCAGACAATCTATTTCTAATTACATTTCATTATCAGAGTTTATAGAAATTACACAGATCAATTATAATGACTATTTATAAAGTAAATTAACACTATTTGATAACATGCAAAAGTCAATAAATAATGAATAATCACTTTACCCAATCTGGCTTAATAATATTTATTTCACTGCAATATTAAATACCACATCCTATTGGACGTTATAATTCCCAATGGCAAGTTAAATCAAACAGCATAATACAAAGAATCCCTAAATCTTCAGCCTAGAGAAATATTAGAACCAGCTTAAATTTAATAGCAGTACTAATTGGTGGCTAGATTGTGGATTTGCCACAAGCCCTGGGTAAGGCGCAGTACAAAGTTGTGCTTCTCCAGGACCAACTGTTGACACAGAGTCAGGGCCAGCTCTAGCGTTTTTGCCGCCCCAAGCAGAAAAAAAAAAAAAAGCCGCAACCGCGATTGGTGGCAGGTCTAGCGCCGCTTCATTCTACGGCGGCAGGTCCTTCGCTCCGAGAGAGAGTGACGGCCCCGCCACCGAATTGCCGCCGAACAGCCAGACATGTCGCCCTCCTCTTCATCGGCCACCCCAGGCACCTGCTTGCTACACTGGTGCCTGGAGCCGGCCCTGCACAGAGTCATAGCTAGTCAGTTCCTTGCTTCCTCCCATACCCAGGAGGAAAATAATTCACCCTAGTACATTATCTGGTGCAGATTACTTTCTCCTCCATATCTTCCAGAGCAGATGAGGTTAGGTCCAATAACCATTTCCTATAAACTGCCTATTTTCAGTCTCGTGCTATACCACTCTCTTATGGTGAAAAATTAGGGATGAGTTCATGTATAAATACTGCAGACTCCGAAGACACAAGCTGTAAACATCCTCTCAATTGGACAAGAAAACATGTCTACTTTAAATGAAAATCAATTGCTGTTAAATCTGTTAGCTCTAGCTAATTTAGACTGACGCTATTTCTGCAACTTGCATTGAGTTGTGCTGAAGCAATAGTACAATAGAATCATGATGGATTCAGCACTGAAACACAGCAGTTCGGGTTGGACAGCAAGCACAACCAAGGGAGCATGAGCTGAGAGTTTACGCAGACTAGGTTAATCATGTTTCTGGTAAACATATTGGCAGATCATCTTTCCTTTTATGGCTGGAAAGGTTAGAAATCACACTCAGGCAAGGACACATTTTGAAAGTTGCACACAAGGTTAATTGACCTAGTCAAACTCTGTATTCTGACTATGGTATTCTATGGAATTCAGTCACCACAGATTTGGGGATCCACTCTGGCAGCAAACAAGTCTGCTCCAGGCTGAAGGAAAATTCCACCAGCCTCGGAACATCATAGGATGGCATAGGCAGCTTCACACTTGTCACAGGCCCCTATGTAATGAATGGGGCTGCAGATAAGGAGGCATCTCCCCAGCCCTCAGGGACTCTCGGTTGCAGAGCAGCCCATTGACAACTGTGGAAAGGCTGCCATAAATTGGACCAGCACCCAAGGTACAAAAGTAGTTTATAGCCCAGTTATGCCACCATCCCACAGCGCTGTTCTTTTGGTTCTGTGCTTCAGTATAGCATACAATATACAGTAACTCCTCACTTAAAGTCGTCCCGGTTAACATTGTTTCATTGTTATGTTGCTGATCAGTTAGGGAACATACTCGTTTGAAGTTGTGCAATGCTCCCTTCTAATGTCGTTTGGCAGCTGCCTACTTTGTCCACTTCTTGCAGGAAGAGCAGCCTGTTGCAGCTAGCTGGTGGGGGCTTGGAACCAGGGTGGACTGGCAGCCCCCCATCAGCTCCCCGCTCCCCTAAGTTCCTTGTGCTGCAGCCGCCCAGCAGGCTATCAATTGGCAGTTCAGCTGTCCCTCCCCCCGCTGCCATGTGCTGCTCCTGCCCTCTGCCTTGGAGCTGCTCCCAGAGACTCCTGCTTGCTGTGCAGGGGGGAGAAAGAGGGGGGTGTAATGTCAGGGTGTCCCCCTCCCCCTGCTCCTGCACCCTGCTTACCCCTTCTCCATATAGAGCAGGGAGGGGACACTGACGGAGAGAGACAGAGAGCGCTTGGGGCAGCAGCTGCTATCTCAACTTCCTGATCCACTTAAAAAGACAATGCCCTTAAGAGTGGGTCAGCTTACTTAAAGGGGCAGTGTGCATCTCTCTCTCTCTCTCTCCCACACACAAGTTGTGTGTCTGTCTCTGTCTGCTATGCTGTCTCCCCTCTCTCCTGTTCGTGCTGCCTTGATGAGAGGCTACATTAACAACAATGTGTTAACCCTTGAGGGCTCAGCCGAGTGCTAGTTCATCATTTAGCAGCAAGGCATTTCCTGGGAAATATCCCTCCCTCTTCCACCCTCTAACTTCACCACCTCAACCAAGCTTCACAATCATCATAGCTGTGAACAGTATTAAATTGTTTGTTTAAAATGTATACTGTGTGTATATCTATATAATATATATTTTTTTGTCTGGTGAAAATTTTTTCCCTGGAACCTAACCCCCCCATTTACATTAATTCTTATGGGGAAATTGGATTCGCTTAACATTGTTTCACTTAAAGTCGCATTTTTCAGGAACATAACTACAACGTTAAGTGAGGAATTCCTGTACCCCAGTGTTTTTACCTTCAGATCCCTTCTAAGACCCAACATGGAAAAGCTTTTAATTGTGAGACTTACTTACCTGGTTAAAATGATGAAGTTTGTCAATTAAATGACTGATGAGAGGGTCTAATCCTTTGACTTTCAATTCTGGGTTATTAATTTGTGCCTTCAGTCCATTGGAAACAACTCTGCTGGTGTAACTAAAAAAAAACGGAACAAAAGATCAACCAGAGAGAAAATATTTACACTGAAAATGAGAGGGTAACATTTTACAGGCTATTTTCATTAGAATAATGAACATACACAAATTTTCCTTAATGTGTCAGGGTCAATAAACATATTACAAAACAAACATGTTTGTAAATAGTGTAATTAGTGCAAACAATTCTTTCATCACCCCAAATCTGCATAAAATGACATGATTTCTTGCAGTTATTATCAGCTCCAACCATTTCAATATCACAAATCAGTCCCCAAAAAGATCATGAGAGATTTTTTAAAAAACAACATTTCAGGTTTCTTATTTGTATTTTGGTGTTTGAACCTTTCAGGTTTATGTTTCAAGCTTTTCTGCACAACTCTAAGGGCTGGAAACTTGCTTTAAAAATCAAATTTGAGATTCTCACATAATCACTGGAATCCAGGGGCTTTAAGGAAGACAACAAATATCACGAGACTTGCAGTAAAATCGCAAGAGTTGGCAATGCTGTACAATTTCTCAATCAGCAGGGGAAATGTTCCTCTCAGTGAAATGAGGCTTTTCAGGAGAGGTGAGCAATTCAGAAGATGAGATTGCCTGCTGGGCTTCAGCCTTAGATGTACTGTAGGAACTCCTTCAAGCGGCACAATCTGATACATCAGCAGTCTTCATCTCAGTCATGCATTATCTTTATCATTATGACTTTGTTAGGAGCAGTTCAGATATATACATACGTAGTGCCCGCCTCTAGGCAATCTCACCTTAAACCTTTGGATCTGAAAAACATCAGCTGTTCTCACACAGTAAATGCCTGCCTCTATCAGCATCCTCATCCTATCACCATGGACAAAGTTATAGACACACACCAACTAATTATTATGTCATTGCTGTAGTTCTGTTTCAGCACCAAGATATTGTTTTTTCTACTTGTCTTTGCATCCTTAAATACAAGGAATGAATTGGGGCCCCATGCTTCTGGGGATCCTATGCAAACTACTTTGATTTTCCTGCACCTCCTCTGCAGCAAAACTGGAGAAGGAGGTATTCATGGCCCAATTAGGCAATGGGACTGATGGGGAAGGTCACTCAACAACTGGCTTCCCCATGCATCCATATCTGCTTGGGAACTGTGAATCATCATACCAAATGTACACCTTTGTAAACTCAAGCAGGAGGAGGTTGCATTCTTCTGGATTGGAACTCAAAGAGAAAGGTCCTGTTACAATTTTCTCCTTAGCCACAGCTACATTCTCTACATGATAACTCAAATGTTCTTTCAGTCTGTCAGCAATCTTCCCTTGATAGCTTTTTAAGACTGGAAAACTAAGGATGGGGCTTTCACAAGGGGCTAAGAGAATTAGGCGTTCAACTTGTATTGGCTTTCAATTAGAGTCGGGCACCTAATACCCTTTGAAAATGCCAGCATAAATTATCTCTTCTCTTAGTGACTAACAGAATTGCAAATTATGATTGGATTTTTACTAGGATGTTTGTCCTATCTTAATTAAAACCAAACAAGTGAATAAAGTTAGACTTCAAGTAAACGTGACAGTAAAAACATTACATACTGCCATTTAACATTCGAGTTCAAGGGTATGCTTGAAATTCTGGTGAAGAATAGAGGAGGTGGCATGGTCAGTTTTTAAGGAAAATTATCAATGACTTTAACCTTGCAGAGAAAGGAAAGCATGAATGAGATCAGGGAAGAATAAAAAGTGCAAAATAATAGATTTAAAAAAGCCCCAAAAACATTCATTGTGTTAAAATACACAACCAATAGCAGCCTGTCTCCTAGTATTAGGTGCAGAGAAGGCATTTGATGCAACTCTGGGATCATCCTGTTGCAGTACAGGAGGAATTTAGTTATGGACATCAATTTATAGCCTCCATCAAACTGTTCTACAATTCTCCACGTGCATTCCTTTGTCTGAACATCTTCCCATCACAAACAGCAGCACAAGGCAAGGGAATGCTTTGCTACCTATTCTTATTGCTCTATGCATTTTATCACTTGCTATAGCTATCAGAGTTTCTCCAGATATTCTGGGCATCACAATGATAAAGAAGGTAAAAAAGCTTTTTTTCCACCTGCAAATGATATTGCTTTAATTCTGCAAATCACAAGCCTCCATTCAATGCTTTTCAGCAGCATTAAAGGCATATAGCATTATACAGATTTTGTGTAAATATGATCCAACCAGAAGCAATGCCTTTAGCCACCCCATCCAGTGAGCCTTATTCATTTCCATGCCAATGATCCCCTGAGGGATTCCAATGCCTGGAGGTACAAATCTTACCCAATGTTATTATATTGCTTGTTGCTACATGGCACCCTCTTTTACTTAATTTAGATGAAGAAAAATGGCATAACTTTCATTATCTATATTTGGTTGAGTCCAAAGTCCATTCAGATCAGTGGGGCTATTTGTGTGCTTAAATATAAGCATGTCTGTATGTGTTTGCAGGACTGAGCCCCTAGACTCCAAGACAATGTTCAAATCAGTCTGCTGCCCAAGTCATTGTTAGTGTTTGATATTTAGATATCATAGAATCATAGAACTGGAAGGGACCACGAAAGGTCATCTAGTCCAGCCCCCTGCACTCAAGGCAGGACTATGTATTATCTAGACCATCCCTGACAGGTGTTTGTCCAACCTGCTCTTAAAATTCCCCAATGATGGAGATTCTACAACCTCCCTCGGCAATTTATTCCAGTGCTTAACCACCCTGACCGTTAGAAAGTTTTTCCTAATGTCCAACCTAAACTGCCCTTGCTGCAATTTAAGCCCATTGCCTCTTCTCCTATCCTCAGAGGTTAATGGGAACAATTCTTCTCCCTCCTTTTTGTAACAACCTTTTATGTACTTGAAAACTGTTATCATGTCCCCCCCTCAGTCTTATCTTCTCCAGACTAAACAAACCCAGTTTTTTCAATCTTCCCTCATAGGTCACGTTTTCTAGACCTTTAATCATATTTGTTGCTCTTCTCTGGACTTTCTCCAATTTGTCCACATTTTTCCTGAAATGTGGTGCCCAGAACTGGACACAATACTCCAGTTGAGGCCTAATCAGCACGGAGTAGAGCGGAAGACTTACTTCTTGTGTCTTGCTTACAATACTCCTGCTAATTCATCCCAGAATGATGTTTTCTTTTTTTGCAACAGCATTGCACTGCTGACTCATATTTAGCTTGTGATCAACTATGACCCCACAGTACTCGTTCCTAGGCAGTCAGTTCCCATTTTGTCATTTCCCATCATTTAATCTTGGATTCAGGGAAAGCATATATCAAATTTGGTGGCTCTATCTTCTAGAGCTATTTATGTTCATATTCAATCCGTTACACCTATAGCCAACTGCTCTCCGGAGAGAGGGTTAGGACCCACAGGACCTCAAGGGTCTGCTTACTCATATGCTTTAGACATGAATAGCCTGTAGGGGCCATACAAATAGCATGACTGACATGCCTGGGCAGCCAACTGCAGGCCCCGGATGTGGCTGGGACTGCCCAGACATATGAACTGTGACAGGAGCTGATGTTAAGTGCAGCCAGAGGAAGCCATTTGCAGAGCACAACAACTATTGGTCCTAGAAAACCCAAGAACTTTAGTCCATCTTCTTGGGTGCCACTTACTGGCACCTTATCCATTAACTATTTACATATAGAACACTTCTCTAACAAACTGAGTCCAGACAAGGTGGGTGAGGTAATATCTTTTATTGGGCCAACTTCTGCTGGTGAGAGAGACAAGATTTCAAGCTTACACGCAGCTGACCTGAGCTGTGAATTCTTGTGTCTCACCCACAGAAGTCAGTCCAGTAAAAGATATTATTTCACCCACCTTCTCTCTCTAATATCCTGGGACTGACATGGCTACAACAACACTGAGTCCAGAGAGAATGGACTGAGTCCAGTCCATTGGCTGTAGGGAGGTGGGTTCCAGCAATAAGAGAAGATATGGCCCCCTCGGTTGCTCTTGAGGGGAAGGAGAATGAGGGGTATTGAAAACGATGTTAACATGATAAACTATCACTTGAACTTGTAAGGGGTTTCCTGGACCTGTTTGCAGGTAAAGAGGCTAAGTAGGGTTGAATTGTGCCTCTGTTTTAAGGAGCAACTTGCTGTCTCTCTCTTGGTGCTTGTGCACTATTGTTCTCAATTCTAAGCCACAGTGTTACGTTGCAACCTTCCAGCAAGAGTATTGTGTATTTTTATCTAACTTCTCTGTGTATGTTGTCAAACATAACGGAGAGAAGGCACAGTGAGAACCCAAAGTGAGTCACAGAGCCACTGAGGAAGGAGGACTATGTGCAGGCTGCCACAACTGGAGATCAGGATTGTTCCAGGAGGCAGCTATACATCCATCTGACTTGAAATCCTATCCTGTAAGCACAGAATTAATCTGCTGGCTCTGTATCAGGTCTGATATACACCTCTACCCCGATATAACGCGGTCCTCGGGAGACAAAAAATCTCACTGTGTTATAGGTGAGACCGCGTTATATCGAACTTGCTCTGGCCTTCCCTCTTCCTTGTTCTCTGACCGCCCCCTCCAGAGACCCCCGTCCCTAATCACCCCCAGGAACCCACTCCCTACCCAACCTCCCTGCTCCCTGTCCCCTGACTGCTCCGACTCCTATCCACCCCCCCACCCCCTGACAGGCACTCACCGGCAGTGGCAGGAAGCGGAGCAGCCCGGCCACAGCCTGCTCCACTCCATCACCTCCCAGCCGCGGCACTTTGCTTCCCCCCCCATTGGTGAGTGTGGGGAGGTTGGGGAAAGGATGCCCCCCCCCCGCACTCACCTGTGGCGGGAAGCAGAGTGACGCAGCCCCAGCCTGCTCCACTTTCCTTGCCCCGGCCCCACCTGTGTCGCTGAGGGCAGGGCCGGCTCCAGGCACCAGCCCTCCAAGCATGTGCTTGGGGCGGCACCTGGAGGGGGGCGGCACTCACCCGGGGAGAGCGGAGCCGCAGCCAGGCTCGCCGCCCTCCCCCCAGCA